TTAAAGGAAAAAAAACAACAACAAAGATTTCTGCTAGTGAGCCAGGGAGATAGCTCAGTGGAATAAGTGCTTGCCTGGCAAGTGCAAGGTCCTGAGTTCGATCCCTGGTACCACCAAAAAAAGAAAACAAATCTTATAGACTAGGTGTGGTGGCACGCACTTGTAATCCCAGTGCTTAGGAGACTAGAAACAGGAGAATTACTACAAGTCCGAGCTGTGTAGTGAGACCCTGAAAACTCTGCGTTAACTACATTTAAAAGAAAGAAAGAAAGAAAGAAAGAAAGAAAGAAAGAAAGAAAGAAAGAAAGAAAGAAAGAAAGAAAGAATTTTAGGCACTCAACTGCAAGTAGCCAGTCTAACATGCACTCCATAAGGACGGGCCTGACAGTCCAGCAGACTAAAATGCCTGCCTCAGCAGAGTGCAGTGGCCGGGGTTTGTTCCCCGGCATGCCATGCCTGCCCCAACCATGGGGCGTGCTGAGACAGTGATTGAGACTGGGTGTGGTGGTGCATGTCTGTAATCCCAGCACTTGGAAGGCTGAAAACAGGAGAATCACTGCAAGTCCGATCTACGTAGTGAGACCATGCAGACCCTGTAGACCCTCTCCCAAATGCAGGGAAAAAGAGTAAAAGAAAGAAAAAGATTTCTGCTGGTATTTTGAAAGGAACAGTTAATGCTTAAAATTTTTTTCATTATTTTTTAAGTTATTATTATTTTGAAGCCTATTTAAGCAGTCATAATTTTGGTGGTCCTTGTTGGTACACGTGTGACTGTTCTCAGCTCCCATGTTTCCTCGCTGGTGGTCCCAAGGCCTAGTGTGGGAGGGAGCAGGCCCTCTCCTGCTGGGCTGTCACGGGATGGCTCCATCACCAGGGCCGCAGCACTAGGCCGGGCCGGGCGTGGTGCCAGGTGGGCTGTGGCAGACGCCAAGGAGCAGGGAGCAGAACCCCAAGCAAGTGAGCGCCCGGAGAAGCGCGGGCCTGCGGCTCCCTGCCGGGCCTCCTCCCAAAGCCATGTGGGAAGCAGAGGAAGCGCTCGCTGTGGCTCATCCAGGGCAGCCAGGATGGCAAGGGGGCGGGGTCACCACCCTGCATTCTCACCGAATGAGCCCCCTTCACTAGCAGATGACTCAAGTTTCTTCTGTGGCTACTGTGGTGCCCGCCCACACTGCAAGCACTGAGGGCACAGTCATTTGCCAAGAGCAGGTCTCAGGTGTCCCGAGGTGATACCCCGGGCAGTGTGGCCGATCTCCCTGCCCGCCCTCTGCCAGGCCCTGCAGACACTGGGTGGAGCAGAGGCCTGGATCCTCCCTGTGCTCATCCCTGCCCTCTGCACTGTGCTGCTTGCTGGCTGACTGACAAACCTCCAGCTACACTGGTGAAGTGAGAGCCCTTTAGTGCTCCAGCAGGCTAGGCCTCCTGCACCAGCTTCTCTGCACGAGACCCAAGCACGGCCAGTGACCCACTCCCATTACCCAGTATCCTGGGGACACTGAGCAATGGAATTCCAGCACCACAATTAAAAAGTAATAAGGAGGATCTCTCTTCAGTTTTGTTATGATGGTATCTGACCTCCCGAAGTCGGCAGTCTTGTTTCTTTGGACACGTGGAAGCTGTGAAATACATAGAAGAGAGCTTCCGCTTGCCTGCAGAGCTCCACGTGGCCCGCTCAGCCCATCTCTCCTCCAGGGCCGGTTCTTGTCTGCTGACTGGGCCCTGTGGAGCCGGCCAGGGTGGGGGTAGCTTAGTGCCCCTGCCGCAGCACTTAACCCTCTCCCCCGCTCCCTCCCAGTCTTTAAGCAAGAAAGGCTTTTCATTAAACCCTAAACCACAGTGTCCCATCTGGAGGGTGTTCCCATCTTGATCATCCCAGCCATGTCCCGCACTCATCAGAGGGTAGAGCCAGAGGGAGCAAGGGGCCCATCGGGTCTCTTTCTTGAACAGAATAACTAAAAGATGTTGTCATCTCAGTGGATTGCAAACCTGTCACTGCTCAGAGGGAGGTGGCTGTGGGAGTCAGCTTTAGATACTGTCACAAATACCTGAGACCTATCAACGTAGAAAGAACATTAGCTAGGCACAGTGGCAAGTGCCTGTGGTCCTGCTGCTTGGGACGCTAAGGCAGGAGGTTCACAAGTGCAAGGCCAGCCTGGACAACTTAGGACACTGGCTCAGCAAATGAGAAGGGTTGAGCATCTAGCTCTGCAGCGCTGCAGGCACATGTGAGACCTTTGGTCTGAGTCCCCAGGAGTGGAGTTGGGGTTGAGGCTTATTCTGGTTGTGCTGTTCTGGGCCTGTGCAAGGCATGACAGGAGCTCAGCACAGCTGCAAGAGAGGAAGCCAGGGTCCTCCTGTCCTCTGCCAGGCATTCCCCTAGTGGCCTGAGACTTCCCACCAGGCCCCCCCTGAAGTTCCTGCCACTTCCCAGTACTGCCAAGCTGGGGACACATTGACCTTTGAGTGACGTCCAGCTCCCACCATAGCATGGGGTAGGAGAAAGAGGCAGGAGGCGTGAGCAGGAGGTGTGTGTTTGCAGAGCTGTTGGGTGCGGCAGTCAGCTGCTGGCTTCAGAACACCTAGCTCGTGGTTCTGTTTTTGGTTATATATATATGTATTAGGTGAGGGTCTCACTACTCAGCTCGGACTCTTAGTGATCCTTCTGATGATGAAATTTATGTAACATCAAATTAACCATCTTGTGTAATTCAGTGACCTTCAACATGGTGATGAATTCCACGGCTGCCACATCTCTCTAGCTCCAAGATTTGCTTCACGCCAGGGCAAACCCCATAGCACTGAGCAGCTGTTCCTCATTCTCATCTTCCTAGCACCTGGAAGCCACCAATCTGCTTTCTATCTCTACAGATTTCCTTATCGTAGACATTTCATTTAATATGTGAATGTTGTCTCAGCGTCTTTCACTTACCGTGTTTTAAAGCTCATCTATACCGCACTTGGTTTCTGCCTGTATAGCAGTACTTCATCCCTTTTTATGGCTGAATAGCACTCCATTGTATGGATATACCACATTTTGTTCAGACCACACTTTGTTCATTTATTAGTGGACATTTCCACTTTTTGATAATTGATACCGGACTGCTATGCAAATTCCTGTACTAGTTCTTGTTCAAACATCTGCTTTCTGTGTTTTAGGGCTTAGCCCCCTCTAAGGAGTTGCTGAGCTGCAAGATAATCCTGTGCTTGTCCTTTTGAGGACTCAATAAGCTGTTTCCCAGGAAATATCCTGGCTCTGAATCCGGCCCCCGCCTCTCACTGACGTCTGTGAGCGTGGACAGGGTCTTATGTTCTCGGTGCCTCGGTTTCCTTAGCTGTTGGCAGGGACAATCCTGGTATTTACCCAGTGGGGTTGGGGTGCCTAAGAGAACTGATGTGTGAAAGGCTTAGAAGCCACAGCTGCTGTTACCATGGGGGAGCAAAGGGACGGAGTGGCAAGGGTTTGCGCTAAGAAAGCTGCAACATGGGGCACAGAGGAGCTCAATCGGGACTCTAGAGCGGGTCTCTGAGGACGCCCTCCTGCTTTATGGCATCCTTCCTCTTAACCTTCCCAGGATAAGCTAAGGGTGGGCTTGTGTCTGTGGTTGTCATGGTAACCACACTTGGTGACCAGAAGGCCTGGGACTTCTATTCTTGACCAGCTCTACCAGGAGAGGAGGCAAATGGTCCCCAGGCCTGCAGCCGGCAACTGAGTCTGGCTAGGGAAGCCCCGTCCCCCAGCTGGGTTCCTGTGGCTCCCAACACACCTGGGCTCTGGGCCTGGCTGCACCGTAGGAACCTGTCATCCCTAAAGATGGGCTCTGGGCAGAAGGGAGAGCTTATGCGGGCCACATTGACCAAGCCAGCCTGGGAAGAGAAGGCCCCTGAATCCCAGGAGGTATTGGGCAGCCAGCACCAAGGCAGATGCTTCACTTCCCAGGCCAGTTCTACCTAGCCACTGTCTGGCATTGAAACAGGAACAGGAGAGGAAAGGTGGAGGAGCCCCCAGAGAGTGCTATCGCCAGGCACTAGGAACCCTCATGACAGGGACAGTCAGGTCTTCCCATGGGGACAAGGGGTGGCCCAGGTGCTGGCTGCACCTGCAGCCCACTTGTACAAGGCCATGTTGTGCCAGAAGGCCAGCTCTGCCTCGCCTGCCCAAGACCATGCGACCTGGCCCTGGCCAGGCTCAGACGTGGATGATGTCCCAGACAAGGCTCACCAGGGGACTGGAAAAGAAGCACTTCTATGGCTGTGAAGTTGCACGGGCCTCTCATAACAAAGGAAAATTAGAGAAAGCATGCTAAGTCCTAACCCCTCAGCCACAAGAGGGCCCTGGGGAGAGCTGTGGTGCCTGGCCTTTCTGATTAGATCAGGCAGGGTGTGTCGCAAGCTATAGGCCTTGCTGCTGCCTCTGCACTCTTCAGAGCTACTTGGCTCTTCCCTGGGGCACCTGGAGTCCCTGTCTGCACAGAACGCCTGTGACATGCAGTCAGTGTGGCGTAGTTACCCGCGTGCTTCCCACGGCTGGCAGGGGTGCTGAGAGTGTGCTTCACTCACACGGTTATTTTCTGTGCCCTGGTAAAGGCAGAGGCAGGCTGACACTGGTGCCCATCCTGTCTGCCTGTCATTGTCGCCTGGGAGCCTGGGAAAACCCTGAGCTCCAGCCATAGCTGCCGGCTGCTGAATCAGACTCTCGAGGGCTTAGCCAGGAAATCAGGTCTGTCAAAAGTATCCGTCCCAGGGGACTTGGAGGCACCAGGCCCAGTGGGACCCAGCAGTCTTGATTATTCAGACCAGCATTGCCCCACATGCCACTGTCTCCTGAAGCATTAAAAGAGGCAGTCATCCTGGTAGGTGGCTCTGTAACGAGATGCAAGCACAATCCTGGCTCCGGGCATGGTTCTCCGCTGTGGTTGGAGGGTGCTGGATCCTGGCAGGTGTACGTGCTCCCACAAGCACAGGCACGTCTGTTACTCACCCGCCTTGCTCTGTCCCCTCTCCAGGACGCACAGGACCAGCCACTGTTACCGCATCACCTACCGCCACATGGAGCGGACACTATCCCAGAGGGAAGTCAGCCACGTCCACCAAGGCATCCAGGCAGCCGCGGTGCAGCAGCTGGGTGTGGATGGCCGATTTTGATGTCGCCACGTGAGCTCCAGGGTCTGTGGAGAGAGGAAACGATGCTCTACGTAAGCTGGAGCCTCAGGCATCTTCTGATGAATGGGGATGTGAAGAAAATAAAGGGTCACTCCTAAGAAAGTGTCCGCACGTGTTCATCTTTAATGTGGAGGAAAGGAAAAGGAGAAAAGAACAGTGCCCCCTCTTTCCCTTCTCGACACACTTTGCCCCTCGGCTCTCTGCACGGTTCGTCAGTCAATCCCAGGGAGCCATCACGCGTGGGCCGAATCTGAGGCCCACAGGCTGTGGCGCTCGGGTAGCAGGCACAGCCAGCCGCGCGGAGGGCCAGCGAGAGTCCCTCGCGCTGGTCGAGGAGCATGTGGCTGGACTGTGATTCCCCCGCCCCTTGCTCACGCAGATCCAGGGGTTGTGGCCGCCTGGGTGGAGCGGGTCTGCCACAGCACTTCCCCAAGGCTCAGATGACCATTAGTATTTTTTGGCAATAAAGTTTTTTTTTTCCTCCAATGCAATAGCACTGTGTTTATAAACACAGGGTGTTATAAACACAGTGCTGTTGCACAGTTAGATTGCCACGCAGTGTGGCATGAACGCGTGCACTGGGAGACCACTGAAGTCACGAGGCTTGCTCTGGGGTGGGGGTCACTGGGCTGCAGCAGTCTGCACCCAAACTCGCAGTGCCTCCAAGATGTAGGTGGCCGAAGAGGGAACCTTCAGAATTAGGAATTAGCGCCTTAATACACTGCTCTTCTTTGTTCTGCAAAGGGCAGGCTTCAAAGAAGACCCAGGGGCTTCCCTCCAATGAAAAGGGAGCCGTGCCTCTGAGCCAGGAGACCACCATTAGCCAAGCGCAAACTGGCCTGGAGTCAGGTCCCACCCACAGGGCGTGGCCTGCCACTTCTGCACTGATAAGAAGGAAAGAGCTCCAGCTGCCCCAGCCCGGGATGCACGCAGAGGGCCAGGTCCCCCAGTCCTTCCAGTTCTGTTCCCAACAAGAGGCCTGGGCTTCCAAGGCGACCTTTAGGGAGGAATGCGGGCCTTTGATGCCCCCCTTTCTGTCCTAGGCACTTTGTAGTCTGCCTGCTTCACTCATGACCAGTTTTACTAATCAGATTTCGTGCCTGGTAAGATGCTGCCGGCTGATGGAGCACTGTGAGTGCTGGGATAAATATTTGATGAGCAGTGGCCATTATGAGCGGGACGTGGGGGTGGGCGGCTGCACCCACAGGGAAGGAATGGCTTTAATAGCGTCTCGGCCTGTTAATGTGCACTTTGCCCTTGGACCTCCAAGGGAATTCCGGAGGCCGCACACCCGGCCTGGAAGTGAAGCCCCGTCCAGAGGCCTGGGGGCCTGGCATGACCCCTCCAGTGCAGGACCAGCGGGGACACAGTGAGGCCAGATGGTGTCTGCTTATTCAGCAGCCTCTGCAGAGAACCACTCCTGCCCAGCCCTGGGCTGCGTTTCTGCATGACTCCTCCATCTGCATGACTGCTAGACCTTCACGCTCTCTCTCACACAAGCCAGGTGGGAACCAGCCAAATAATGGGGGTTCTATTCTCATTGTGCCGTGCCAGCCTCACAACCGGGGGTGTGCTGAGACTACAACTGAGACTGGGCATGGTGGCACGTGCTTGTAATCCCAGCGCTTGGGAGGCTGAAAACTGGAGGATCATTCCGAGACTCACCTGTGTAGTGAGACCCTGTATGAAATACATTAAAAAATAAATAAATAATAAAGAGAAAACAAGCCAGATGGGTGACAAGCGAACACCCTGGCACCAGCCCAGGCCCCCAGCTTAAGCAAATACTTGTCAAATACAGGGCTTCTGCCCAGCCTGATCCTGAAGTCTGGGGCTGGGCTATGCTCAGGAGGGTACCCACAGTGCTCCCGCCTCAAACATCCCCCAAATGCTCCATGAGGAACAATCGACTGTTACCCAAATTTCCTTACTGGGGAAACAGAAATCTAAAGAAACCCCAAGACTTGGTGGCAGACTCCAGCCATAGCCTCCAAATCAGTAGCATCCCCCTGAGCAGGAGCCAGCTGGGTATGGCCCTGTGCCCCCTGCTGCTCACGGGGCATTTGTGCTAAGGACTCAGAGCCCCCAGGGCCCAATGCTGCCACTGGCCACTGTGCTAGGAATGGACCCATCCCACCACCCAGGAGCCTGGGGAACATCTGGCTCTCCATGTTTTCATTTGATTTTCATAGCAAAGTAAGCAATACGGAGGAAAAAAGAGAGGGAAGGCAAGCCCTCCTGGGAGCAGCCCCTTTGCAGCTCAGTACCCAAGAGCTCAGTCCCGGAACCTCCATTCCCTCCTTGCCAATGGAGTGGGACAGTTGGTCCTGGTGACTCCTGGGTTGGCTGAGAGCTGCCTGGGGATCAGCACAGTGCGCTTCGAGTTTGTCCAGGTGCATCACAGGGTAGAGGCGGGAGCTGCATCTTCACCCTGTCCTCTGCCTCCTTGGCTCTTCTTCCCCGCACCGCTTCTTGGCCACCTCCCTTCCGCCACCATGACTTCGCCTGGGAGTAGCCACCAGGGATGGAGACCTGAGTCCATGAGCCAGCGCAAGCCTCCCCTCCCTTCACTGGAGGTATCTATTGTTTTGCGCCAGCAGTGGGAGAGCTTGCCAAGCCTTGCCAGGAACTGGCAAGGAGACACCACGCTGGATACAGCCCAGCCCCAAGGAGCCTTGGTGGGGGCCTGCTCTGGGCTCTGAGGTCTCTAGTTCTTATCCCAGGAGAGAATGAGGAAACCATGATTCCTTAGGATTGGAAGGGATCCCAAGGGCATCCACATCTCTTAATCCACATGCAAGGATACTGAATGCCAACCTGTGGTTTCAGTGCCAGCTCCTGCCTCTGGGCCACCAGCAGCACCCACCAACAGACCAAGGACCTCCCAATAGGTGTGAAGCAATGTGGCCTGGGGTTGGGACCAGTGTGGGTTCTGTGGGGAGAGCCTGACAGAGGAGCTCCAGAGCAGCCAGCCAGATGCTAGGACATGAACAGCAGTAGAAAGCCAGCTCCTGAGTGACAGAGGAAACCAAACCTACAGAATGTAAGGACCTGCTCAGCAGGCCTTTCCCAGGTGGAGGTGTGGCCAGCACCAGAGACGGAGAGGTTCGGCCAAGAGCATGTTGGCTGTGATTTCTCTTTTCTTCTTCCTCCCTCCCTCTTCCCTCTATCCTTTGCTTTCCTCTCCCTCTCTACCTCTCTCTCTGTCTAGCCTTAGGGAGGACTTCACATCCACCATCCACACAATGGAGAGAACACTGAGATCCACAGGCGAATCAAGGTGGGCACTTGAAACCAGGAAGCTGCAGGATGGACTTCAAAGGAACTCAGCGTGTTGTGGTGCTGTCTGCATTCCTGCTGCACCC